GTTGGCTCACAAGTTGATGATGATGCAGGATGGAACGACGCCGCTGATGATTGCTGCTCTGAGCGGCCATGACACCGTCGTCAAGACGCTCCTCGCCGCCAACGCCGCTGTGGATCAAGCGATGAACGTACGTTCTCTTCTTTTGCGCTCTTGAATGTTGGCTCACATGTCAATGATGATGTAGGATGGAACGACGCCGCTGCACATTGCTGCTCAGCATGGGCACGATGCCATCGTCAAGATGCTCCTCGCCGCCAACGCTGCTGTAAACCAAGCTAAAAACGTATGTTCTTTACTTTTGCCGGTTGCTCTCTCAAACGTGTGGCCTCACATGTTGCTGATGATAAAGGGTGGAGTGACGCCACTGTTGACGGCTGCTCACAACGGCCATGACACTGTCATCAAGACGCTCCTCGCCGCCAACGCCGCTGTGGATCAAGCTATGAACGTACGTTGTCATCTTTTGCGCTCTTGAATGTTGGCTCACAAGTTGATGATGATGCAGGATGGAACGACGCCGCTGATGATTGCTGCTCTGAGCGGCCATGACACCGTCGTCAAGACGCTCCTCGGCGCCAACGCTGCTGTCAATCAAGCTATGAACGTACGTTCTCTGCTTTTGACGGTTGCGCTCTTAAATCTCAAATGTCGATAATGCTGTAGAATGGAGGGACATCATTGTTTATTGCTGCTCTCAATGGCCATGACACTGTCGTCAAGACCCTCCTCGCCGCCAATGCTGCCGTAGATCAAGCTTTGAACGTACGTTCTCTTCTTTTGCGCTCGTGAATGTTGGCTCATATGCCATTGATGATGAAGAGCGGAGCGACGCCGCTGATGGTTGCTGCTCAGAACGACCATGACACTGTCGTCAAGACGCTCCTCGCCGCCAACGCTGCTGTCAATCAAGCTATGAACGTACGTTCTCTTCTTTTGCGCTCTTGAATGTTGGCTCACATGTCGATAATGTTGTAGGATGGAGCGACGCCGCTGATGATTGCTGCTCTAAACGGCCATGACACCGTCGTCAAGACGCTCCTCGGCGCCAACGCTGCTGTGGATCAAGCTAGAAACGTACGTTCTCTGCTTTTGCTTCTTGCGCTCTCAAATTTTTTGGCTCACATGTTGTTGATGATAATTTAGGATGGAGCGACGTCGCTGCTCCTAGCTGCGTATCAAGGACATGACGTCATTGTCAAGACGCTCCTTTGCGCCGACGCAGCTGTGGATCAAACAGCAAAGGTGCGTGTTCACCTCTACTACAAGGTACAAACTCGTCTCGTATGTAGGACGGGGACACGCCACTTTGTGCGGCGTCGCGCTTTGGCTATGCCACAGCGGTGCAAATTCTCCTGGACGCCGGGGCCGATGTCGACAAGCGCGTGCGTACAAGCTTCAACGACCGCGATATCCTGCTCTTGGTATTGCAATAGCGTGCACTTCTACATGCGTCACGAGCTTGACCTAGGACGGGACGACCTCTCTCTTGGCGGCGGCTCTGCGTGGGCATGAAGTGGTTTGCCGCGTGCTGCTCCGTGCCAACGCAAATGTTCACGCGGCGGACAGCGTACAACCTACTCGGTCCGCTGCATGTCTCAGTGATACCCCGATGTGTAGAGTGGCCAAACCGCACGCATTGCTGCAGAGCGCGGTGGGCACGAGTCGGTCGTGCGACTCTTGCTCGATGCTGGCGCCAGCCTCGAGGATGATGAGCAATAGGTTGCTCAACTTCTGCTTCCTTTACACTGGAAACGTGCCTCGGTTCGTGCGCAAACCGTGCTCGTAAACAAAGAATTTTGTGCTTTCCCCATTTTGACTTCGGCCGATGCGCTGTACCAACGAAAATGAATTGGCTGCTGGCCCTGCCGAGACGCCGGACGCACTCGTAGCATTTGTAAGTGGGTGCACACAACGTCGTGCAGTCGTCCGGTGGGACGTGGTATCGTGTCAAGGCGCCGACCGCGCTCCGTGGCGCTATCGATACCGTTGCGTGGCCCAGACCGTTGGACTTGAACCGAATCGGCGTGGTCGCCAACATTTCGCAAGCTAGCTCAAAGATGGACAACATTGGCGCGCGCGTTGACGACCATCTCGCCGGCTACAAGCAGGTGGGCTTCCTCCTGCGCTCGTGAGGCATGACCGGTGCGTCAAGCTGAGGGTGCTTGGTCGTGGCTCGGGATTGTGCGAGCACACCGATGCCTCCAAGCGTGGCGCCGTCGGAGCCTGTTGCTCCTGATATCATCCGGATAGGCGTATCTAAGTCGGTTAAAAGACACATGAAACGGGTGTGCGATGATGTGATTGGCTGCTGGCGCAAGTGGAGCAATCTCGACACTCGGAATTCGATACACGCCGCCATGTTCCGCCAGCTCCTGCGCAACGCGCTGCCAGCGACGGGCCTCCTGACCATGGGCGCGGCCTTGGCATCAACGACGTCCTGCGAAGCGCCAGCTGCGTTCACGGACGAGCTGCGCCGGTTGCGCGCCAACGAAAAGGACATGACGGCGCGCTGGGTCAAGGACGAGGAGGGCTGGCGCCAGCTCCCGTCGCGCGTCTGGCCCGTCAAGCAACCCAACGCCGACCAGCTTGCTATGCTGCAAAAAGACATCACATCGACGTGTAGCTCGCGCGATCCTCGCTGCAACGAGCTCCGCTTTGACCTCGCGACGCTCAACGTCTTCAACAACCTCGACACGGAGGCAGGGTATCACATGTACGTCGACCTTGCGAGCGAAGGCGATGTCGACGGCCTTGTCGCGGTCGGTATGTGCCTCGTCGAAGGCTACGGCGTCGAGCAAGACTACGTCATGGGCATCGAATGTCTTCAACGCGCAAGCGCCTGTGGCCACCCGCAAGCCGACTATGAGCTCGGCGTGCTCTACTACACGGGCGCTGCAGGCAGCGACCTACCCGAAGACGAAGCGAAGGCGCTCGAGTGCTTTGAGCGCGCGCTCGCCAACGGCAAGTTCTCGTACGCAGCGTACATGGTCGCGGACCTCCTCTTCCAGAACGCGCCGGTCGCCGAGTATGGCCGCGCGCTCCAGCTCCTGTACCTAGCGGCCGAGAACGGCCATCGCTTTGCGCGTCAAGAGATCCAGGCCTTTGTCGAAGGCAAGCACCGCGCGTTCAAGAAGCTGTGATAGAATCCGACTACGATCTTAGTTTCCGTACTGTAGTACCTTGAGAACTGCATCAACTTTCACTTCTGGTCGACCACAATCCATCGTCGTCACGTCCCGTGCGATCCGGCGCAGGACGGTCTCTGGTTTGGTCCTTGGGAGAGTGGCGTGGGCTGGGTCGACAATCCAGCAACACCCCCTACCCAGGCCCTTGACCAATGTGGCCAAAAACGGGTCTGCCATTCTCCTATCCAAGTACACTTGTGGAAAAAGAGCAAATCCGATAGCGATCATTTAATTAAAACTACTTTTTTACGCGAATATCTTGGCGTCACCTCCTTTTTTGTCAATCGCATTCCTTCGACACCCGTAAAGTGCGATCACTTAAAGCACAGCACGCGATTGCCTTGTCCGAGTACACTCATTGATCACGCCACTCGTAGCATTGCGCCAAGACTCCGTTCATGGCCAACGATCCATTGATGCAAGTCTCTCAATGCCATCTACGCTTACTAGAATCAACGCCAGTGCTTGAAACGAGCAAATGGCTTGCACTGCATTTTCTATCAACTCTTGGCAGTATCAACCTCCTACAGTGTATCAAGCCGAGGCCATCGGTCCGTGGTCTCCACCTACCACTCTATTCCAGAACGTTCACGCTCAGGCGCCACGCAAGATGCCCTCGCTGGAGGCCACCACACATGCGTTCGTTGGGCCGTATCGACAAGGTTGCAGGGCACAGAGGGGCGTGCACGTCAGTGCAACTATCAACCGTTTAGTCGAAATTCAGTCAAGGTACTGTTTTAAGGTAATTATCGCAGCTGGCCCCTGGCTGCGCCACGCCATGTGGTCGTCTGATCGCCATACAATTCACAAGAGAGTCGTCAGTAGCAAATCTCCGCCGTCGTCAGCAGCCATGTATCTCCAGACGCGTGGGCCGATCGTCAGTGAGCAAACGCCCTTGAACAACACGATGGCCAAGAAGGACAGCTGCGACGAGAACACGTGCGACCTCAAGGAAGAGCGTCGCTGCAATGACATCCTCTTTGCCATTCTCTACCTCCTCGCCTTTGGCGGCGTCCTCGTGCTCTTTGCGACCTTGTCGTCCGAGGTGCTCGACTACGCCGGCGACAAGCTCGTCCAGGAGCACCACAAGTACAAGTACGCGCTGCGCATTGCCGGTGCGATTGCCGGCGGCTCGGTGCTCCTCTCGCTTCTCTGGACCGGCATCATGCTCGTCATGGGCAAGCTCCTCATCTGGATCGCGGCCATCACTGCGATCGTCGGCACGTTTGTCGCTGGCGTCTTTGGCTCCAAGTTCCTCTACGACAACGGCGACGAGACGTTCTTTTGGTGCCCCGTCGCGCTCGGGTCGCTCCTCTCGATCATCATGACTGTGTACGTGTGCTGCATTCGCCGCCGCATCGCGTTCGCGTCGGCCAACCTCAAGGTCTCGTGCTCGGCCGTGCTCCGGTACCCGGTGATCCTCCTCATTGCGCTCGCGGCGACGCTCGTCCAGGTCGGCTGGGTGCTCATCTGGGCGGTCGCCACGTACGCGGCCGTGAACCACGGTGAGTACACGAGCACGGACGGCAAGGGCTACAACGGCGCGCAGAAGTTTGGTATCTTTACGCTCATGCTCCTCGCGTTCTTCTGGACGCTCTTTGTCATCCGCAACGTTGTCCACGTAACGACGTCGGGCACGGTTGCGGCCTGGTGGTACAACGCCGACAACGAGCGCAAGTCGATGACGAGCACGACGGCCCTCTGCCGCGCGCTCACGCTTTCGTTTGGCTCGATCTGCTTTGGCTCGCTCGTCGTCTCGATCATCGAGACCATCAAGACGATCCTCGAGCTCTTCCGCCACGCCGCCTCCAAGTCGGGCAACTCGGTCGCTGTCTGCCTCCTCGGCTGCCTCGAGTGCATCATTGGCTGCATCTCGCGCATCGTCCAGTACTTCAACAAGTACGCGTACTCGTACGTCGGTATCTACGGCTTTAGCTTCATCCGCGCCGGCAAGGAAACGTACGAGCTCTTTGAAAAGATGGGCTGGTCCGCCGTCGCCAACGACTCGCTCATCGACAACGTGCTCCTCATTGGCTCCGTCATGGTCGGTATGGTCGGCGCCGCCGCGGCCTACGGCGTCGTTGCGTGGGATCGCGCCAACAACAACAGCCTCTGGACGCAGAACCTCGACAAGCCGCAGCTCGTGCTCGGTATCACGGGCCTTTTGATTGGCTTTTCGATCTGCTACATTGTCATGGCCGTCATCAACTCGTCGGTCGCGACCGTCTTTGTGCTCTTTGCCGAGGACCCGCACTCGCTCCACCACTCGCACCCAGAGCACCACGACACGCTCCACGAAGCGTGGAACGACATCTACCCGGAGGAGTACGCCAAGAACCCCCACGGCACCAAGAAGGACGAGACCAAGGCGTAAGTTTCGTCTACGATCTAGATCTCACGTCTGTACTACATCGGGACGAATGGCGACATCAGTTTTGATCTGTGCTACTTGGGCTTTTGTGGTATCGAGATACCGTGTTGATGGTTCGACGAGCCTGTCGTTATGACAGATGTGGCGGACAGTGTGGTGGGCAAATGTGGTAGTACGTGCTTGAGAGCGCGCACAGAAAGTCACAATATCGAGAGCTAGACGGCAGATCACCAACGGCCAATAAGAAATACGTTTCGTTTTGACTTTGGTCCCGATGGATCGGCTACGGTACAACGAGCTTCAAACCAAACGTGACAATAACCCAGTAGCGTTGCATCGATTCAAACTGGCTAGCGCTCTACGAAACGTTCGTCATCAAAGGGAACGGCGTTCCCTTTGTACCAGTACTAGTACAGGATAAGAACTGCAAGGTCCAGAACTTATCGCACAGACCCAAGTGCAAAGTCAAGTGCAATGTGAGCGGAAACCGTGCAAAGTGGACATGTGGACCACGCAAATGACAACCATGTCCACCAAACAACGAGAAATGCAGTCAGATACGGTACAATAAGAGATGAGTTGCTGGTTATCAGTACTTGTCGCGGTTCATCGCATTGATCGGGAAGAGAATGTCGGTGCGGATAATGTACTTGCAGTTTTTGAGCGGGCCGTCGCCGACGTCCACGGTATCGTGCTCGGGCATGTGCTGCAGTCCCGACCCGGTATGGTACAAGCAGTGCTCAAAGAGCACGATGCGCCCAGTCTTGGGCGTCACGGGCGTTCCCGCCGCCTTCTCGGGAGAGTCAAAGCTCAAAAACACCGTCTCGCCGCCGGTAAAGTCGACGCCGCCGCCGTCGTTCAAGTAAATGAGCACCGTGATCAAGCTCTCGCTGCCTACACTTCTGTTGACCCATAGCTCTAGCCAAGTCGCGACGACGCACCAGACGCCTCGTCGGGCACGATGCGATCATAGTGGGCGTCAAACACGTCATCACCGAGGTACCGGAGCATGCGCAGGCGCGGCGCCAGACCCAGTGGCATACCACAGCCTTCGCGGTCAATGTAGCTACAACAACAAACAGCGTGAGCCAGAAAGACCAGGTCGCAGTGGCGTACTTGACGATCGCGGGCAGCGCGTCGCTGTTGAGGATGCGCTGCCAAATGATGTCGGCAAACCGCTTGTTCTGCATGACCGAGAGGTTGTACTCGGTCTTGGACCGGCGCTGGTCGCCGTCCGGGTGCATCTTGGTGAGCGCGCCGCTCACGCTCTTGAGCGCCGGCGTCATGTGCTTGATGAGGGCCTTGCACTCGTTGGCGCTGAGCACGTGATCGAGGACCTCGAACATGCAGTCGGCCGGCGCGACGCCGTACTTGTGCACGTTCGGCGGCAACGTCGGCTTGGCCGCCAGCGCCGGCGCAATGGTGCTGCTCATGCTGGTTTTCCAGTTTTGGCCGCCATGCACCGCAAGTAGCCAATCGCGAGGCGCTCGACGCTAAATTTCAGCCAATCCGCATCGAGGTAGCCATAGCGCGTCTATGCACCTCCTCACTCCGCCACGATCTTTGCCAGTCGTTCGCAACGCATCTATGCGTCGATGCAATGGTAGTGGCAGCTGCGTCGTCTGGTGGCCGCTTCTAGTTCTGGTTGCCACCAGATTCTGGGCGAGGACGCAGCGACATTGAGGCTCAGGAAGCATCCAAGCCGCGCAGCTTGCTTGGATGCTCCTGACACCGACAGCGCATGAAGCTGCAACGAGCCCGCTGGCGCTAGTATACAATGGCAGCGGATGCGAGGAGGCCCCAGGACTACATGTCATCGCTGTATAGGCCATGCGCAAGGGAAGATCCTCGGTGCCAGAGACTCTAGTGTGATGAGGCCAGCCAGCGGCACGAAGTAGAGTGGTTCAGACTAGATTAGATCTGGAGAAACGACAAATGGGCTTGAAGGGCCTCGACGTTGGCGAGGAATTGGTAAAACATGGGCAGCGACAGCTCCAGCGCCTCGGTCGACCGCAGCGCCGTACCGCGCGGCTGCAGAACAAATGTCAAGACGACAAATGGAGCACCGACCTAGTGTATCGTTCCTTTGCTAAACGATTCGAATGCAATTATGTGTACCGATGGCAAGAGGCTCGTGGCCGTCGTGATGCCAAGCTTCCACGTCATGTCGATGAAGTCTGCGTGGACGAGCTGGAGACTGCGGCACGATACATCGGCTGTCGCCGTCCATCGCGCGCCAAAGCGCTTAGCTGTAGCTTCATTCGCGCCTATAAGCAGTGCTAGTCGTTGTGCCCCAGTGCGGTCAAGTGTACCTGCTGCCAAAAGTGCTGCGACGAGATCGTTAGGCGACGCCTGCTCGGTGATGGCGGTCGAAAGGATCGCCAGTGTGTTTTGGAGAATGTGCTATGCACTGCATCAGCCATTGCGCTGGCGATATGCACATACCTTGAGTGGTGTAAGGTTCATGTTGTGAGCGGCTGCAAAGCCCGAGGCGAACGTCGCCACGTCATGGTCCTAGCGCCGCATGGGCTTCGCTTCCAGGCGTATCGCTGCGGCAGGAAATACCTGAGGCGCGCCTGCGTAGGCCATGACAAAGTTCACGAGCTCATCCTGCATGGCGTCCGTCATCGCACTCATGTCGGCCGGCGCCATCGCTGTCGCTCGATCTTTCGCTCTTCGGACTGGAAAATCCATGCAACAGCCAATCCGATCGTTCATCATGCGACCTTTATGGCGAATCAAAACGATCGTACACTATTTACGTGACTACGAAATACGATCTTATTGCGCAATGATTGGCCAGACTTTAGTTCAAGCTTCGGTTGGTTGCTTCGACCCTGCAATCTTTGGCACGCTTGTCAATGCTCCAAACCACGCACTAGCGTAGTAGTCTCCCGTCGGCATGCTATACCGTTGCGCAAGGTTCTAGTTAACGGTTCGAAAATAGTTATTTTCTTTCGCAAAAGTAATCACTGTCAGAAAGCAGAACGAGCAGAACGAAGGTACTTCAACCACCACGGCAGGCCTCTATCGCGTCGCCTTCTCCAGCTGGGCTCGCAAGGTAACTTGCAGAAGCCTTTGCATGCGACTGTACCAGCTGCGCAACACACAACAGTTTAAGCAAACCGACGAACGAAGTGACGCTTTGACAAAGAAAAGAGTCTGGGAAGAGACGTCCCGTGTGAACAGGTTCACGATCGGAGCAGTGACGGCCTCCTCCCAACTGCACTCGTGCTGGCAATCCACTGCGCATTGCTCTCTCTACTAGCGCGAGCGCGAATCTCATGCACGTCAGCACACCGGACCGAGGCTTATTGGGTGCTTCCAGGGACTTTCGATCGACGTTGTAGCTCGACAATGTATGCTCGGCGGTGGGACGGGCGTAGGATGATTGGAACCGAATGCTTGCACCCGGCCGTCGTGTGCACTTGACTGTAAACTTACTCCTCGACTACGACGTCATTGGTGCCACCGTCTTGTCGCTCAGCGTCGCAGGCGGGTGGCCATCGGTCGCGTGGCGCGTAACACCCAGAGTACCTCTGTCGACGCGTCCACAGCGGCGTCTTGTCCTCTTGTGAAGCTCTTGTGAAGGACACGCCACCTCCGCACGGTCGGGCCGTCCTTTTCAACGGCAAAGTCGACAGCACCACGCCTCCAAGGGTTGCATCTGGTCGCCTCGTCTTGAAAACCTGCTGGTTACACACCGTGTGTCGCCGTGCGGGATCCGAAGCGCGTCACAACTCCGTGGCGCCGTCAAACCGCTCGCATTTCGCAATATGCTCAGCGTCACGCATACGCTGGCCGTGCACGTCGACAGCCTCATGCCCAAGACGAAATACATCAAAGACGCCCAGCGCAAGCGCTGCGCCCTCTGCCTCCGCCGCTTCCATCCGTTTCGGCGACGCCACCACTGCCGGCTGGTACGTGCGACGCCCGTCGTCGCTTCCTCATGATACCCTTCCATTTTGCTTAGTGCGGCGAGGTGGCCTGCCACCAATGCACGCTATACGTCACTTTGGTGCTGCCGGGCACAGCGACGTCATTGACACGCAGTTGCTGCCGGTGCGCCGACGCCAAGGGCCGGGTGCTGCCCATCGGGCAGGAAGCGGCGCTCGAGCACTGGACCACGCCATGAGCGGAAAGGCAACTTCACCAAATAGCTTGGCATTTGTATGCCATACCCAACCCAAGACGATGACGCGTGGGTTGTATACGATACACGTGGTGCACCTGCACCCATGTGTGGGAAACACCACGCGTGGGTGTGGGAAATACATAAAAACACCCAACTTTCGGTCTGCCCCAAGGAGACACTAATTTACACGCTAAAAGAACGACAACATTGTACAATATGCTGGATCGTCATCGACGCCCACCACAACGTATGTGATGGAGAAGACACTGGGCGGCGCTGTGTGGTCACCGATACGGAACGGCGCCGTGTACTTCATGCCAGATCGAAAGAGACACCCAAGCGCCATTCATTTGATTCCCACGACCATCCAAATCCTGGGCATGTACTTGTCGGTGAGCGTGGCTACTTGAGTACCAAGTGATCAGTTTTATTCAGAATGGTCTTTGAAATACATTGCCCACGTTCTGTTGCTGGTCGAGTTCATGGCGCTTGACGCATCAACGGTGTTCGCGACAATATCTGTTCCTCGTATCTGCACAAATGGTTTGTTGTGTTTTGCTGAAATGAGATCTTGTACCCAAATTTTCTTGTGAAAATGTGTTCTTATCGCTTATAGTGTCTGTAGCACCAGCCAGGACGTGGCTACGTTGCCACCTTGCAGCGACAAGAGTGCACGTGGCGTGCGGTATACGAAGAGACGCGTCTGATATCGAGGCCAGTGATACGCACCGTACGTCTCTTTTGGCCCGATTTCCTTGTGCACAAGTCCACGCAACGATCCGACACGAGCGATCCTGCAACCCTATCCACTCGGTCACTGTGTAACGCTCGCACCACGCGATGCCACGTCATCGTCTCGACAGCTCCGGAGCCGTACGTTTCAAAAGCAAATGCTAGGATCATCTTGCTACTAGGAACGTAGCCGAAACCCTCGCACGGCTCATCGCCTCGTAGCGTAGCAAGGCAACAAAAATACAACACCGCACCCTCTTTACCTCGCATCTTGTCCCAGTGGTCCGGACGCCGCCGCAGTCGATCGATTGCTCGTGTACCATGAACTTTGCGTCCCCGTTGCGCCATGCACGAGCTTGAGCAAGCCGGTGTCGTCGGGTGTGGCGTGTGGGGTCGGCGCCAGGTGCAAAAGTTGCGTGGTTTTAACGAGACGCTGCGCAGCCCGTGCTTTATCACGTTTTCCACCCAGCTGCCGTATCCCCGAGCCCTACGCCGGATACCATCCATACAAACAGCAAGTGCCCTTTCGATCCGGATAACGGGCGGAAGGAAACGAGGTCGCCCATCACCTGACGGAGCGTATTTCTTGTGCGGCAGTTTGCGATTTCGACTGCGATGGACGCCGAACAGATCGAAGCCATGGAAGCCAGCATCCAAGAGAAGCTCCGCGCGATGGAGGCCATGGAAGGCCTGCCCAAGGAGGTCGAGGCCGAGATGGAGCCCATCGAAGAGAGCTCGACCGAAGAGGCCAAATCGGTCGCGTCGTCGGGCGACCACCATCATGCTCAGCCGGCGTCGCTCACCGACTACGAAGACCACTCGTCGCCGATGCACCACGCATCGTATGCGATGAGCCAGCCCGAGATCCCGCGCCCGCCCCGGAAGGCCAAGTACGCGTACGTCCGCCCGCGCTACATGGACGTTGAGCGGTCGCCGCTCTTCATCCGGCACCGCGAAGAGCAAATGCTCCGGCGGCGCGAGCTCGAGCAGTTCAACAACTTGCGTGCGCAGCAGCGCAAGGAAGCGTGGGAGATGCTTCTGCGGCAAAAGCAGGAGGCCGAGGCCAAGGAGCGACAAGTGATCCAGGACCGCAACATGGACGCGCACAGCTTTCGCCAAATGATGAAGACGCCGTCGAGCTTCACCAAGGAAGAGGACACCCGGCATTCGATGCCTGCGCGCATGTCGCTCTCGAGCGTCCGCTCGTTCCGCCCCAACTCGGCCAAGATGGCCCCCGCCGTGTGATTCCGCCTACTGTATTGCCTCCATGTCTGTGAATATATGATGATCCAACTACTGATAACCATCTTCTTCAAAGGGCAAGGTGGTCGCAGAAAGGCAACGTCGAAAACACCCAACTTTTTTCAACATTCAACGCGACACGCCCGCCAGTGATCGGGCAGCCGACGTATGGCTCCTGTGGCTCCACATATCGAATCGCTCGCCTTCAACAGTACCTTCAACGGCCGCCGGTTGAGGTCAAGCGGCGTCGGTAGGAAGCCGCTCCGTGTATTGACACAGTGGACGTCGACGAGCCAGAGACACGGCCATGGGAGCATTGCGTGCGTTTAGACACTGGCTTCATGGACCCGCAACTGCGGCAACGCTGGCTTTCTGCGCGAAGCACAACATCGCGACACGCTCGTCGTCTGAGCACCTCCCGTCCTTGCACTTTGGCTACACCTTGCAGCTACTCTTGCTGCGAGTACTATACTATAGTAGCTTCCAGTCGCGCGTTGCTAAACGTTAGAGACGATTGTCAATGAAAACGATAGACAATATTGTTGCGATATTTAGAACTCCGTGTCGGCCATTGCCGTCGCAAACCGGACGCTGTGCTCCTCAAACAAAGCGTAGAGGCGGCTGACGATCACCGGGTGCCGGCCACTCCGGTCGTCCGTCGCGTTGTAGAACGGGCGGGGTGCGACGCCGTGCAACACATACTCGCGCTGGTCCTAATGCATCCCATCAATATCGTCCTCTTGATCAAAAGCATCAAGTACCGGGTTTGACGGCTTGCCCAGTGCGGGTGGCCACAGCACACTGCCAAGGACCGCGCGGTCGGACGGCGACGTCACACGCACCGACGACGTGCCCGAGGTTAGGGCATTGCGCAGCGCTATGGACGCCCCGTCGAGCACATGCGAAACGCTGGCGGCCGACGCGACGAGCACCTCGACGCGCTGCAGTGCCAAGACAGCCTTCTCCATCGCATCGTCGGTGAGCGCAGAGAGCACGAGGCGTTCGTCGTCGGTTGTGCTCTTGCCATCGGATTCAATGGCCTCGTCATCAAGCGCGCTCACAGCCTTGTCGCAGGCGTCTTGCAGCAGCGCATTGGCCGCCGCGACCACCGGGAGGTCGTCGTGGCAGTGGGCAAAGAGCACCGAGAGGCTCGAGAGCGTCGCGACAAGCATGTGGTAGAAGAGGCCGCGGGGCGACATGGTGTCGAGGTAGTCGAAAACCTTCTCCGCTTCCAGGACTGGGTCGAACAGCGACCGTTGCTTCTCGGCCGGAAGCGGCGCTGCAGTCGCCCAGAGACGGTGCCACACGTTGGTGGGCGCGTCGACGTTGGCTTCGTGCATCCGGGCCGAGAGCTGGCCTTGGCGAAACCGCGAGACGCCATCGGCGTCGCTGGCGTCATCGAGCGGATCCCGCGGCAGCCAGTCGCGCGGCGAGTACCACCGAATAAAGTCGGCCAAACATGTGCCCGGGTTGGCCGCCTACACACCGCAAATGAGACTAAGATCTGAAGAAGAGAACGACCTTGAACGCTTGCATGTCGGAGATCATCGACGAGCTCTGAATTTGTTGCCGTAACAAGGTCGACTCGGCCGAGACACCGAGGCTAGAGAGTACGGTACGTCAGCCAAGGACGTAGAAGAAGGCGGAGACCGACTTGGCAAGGATGTCTTGCTGCTGCTTGGCTGCGTCCTCGGTCAATGGCGCAGGGTCCTGCGTCTTGGGGATGTTGAGGCACTGCGTCGGGTCGCTCAGGCTCTGCATGTCGTTCATGCGCCGGAGCACACCGACGGCCGGCGACTCTTGAAGCGAGTCGAAATACTCGTCGTCACTGTCGTCGCTGCCGACGTCACTCGTCGCACGACTCTGTCGACGCGAGAGCGGGGACCGAACACGTCTACTCAAACCAGTATAATGGACGACGTATGACCACATGGACATACCGCGCAATGCAGATGTTGAGCATCTGTAGCTTTTGGTGGAGGAGGTTCAAGTGAAAGTCGGGCGTCGGCATCGAGACGCCGTCGAGCGGGTCGACGTCGGCTGGGTGCAGCAAGCCGTCGACACCAATCCCCTACCCTCGGTTGAGCAAATGCGACAGCATTCTACACAAAGGCGCGTACGGTCCACGGCAAGAGCAGCTGGGTCGTCCACGTTTCGCGCAGCAAGCGCACAAACTCGACCCACACTGCGCACTTCATGTTGATGCCCTCTAGCATCGTCCATAGCATAATGAACATCTCGTCCATACGCCAACGCAAGTGACATGACGTACGCTGGTGCACCAAGAGCATGGCGAGTCGCGACACGAGCTGTCCGACAACGACGCCGTGGCGGACCTTGGGTAGCGTGCACCAGCTTGACGCTGTCACATCCACGTCATTCGGTGGGGTTGTGAAGAGGTTGGCGACGAGGTCACGCACTGACTCGACCGACATCGTTGACGAGACCCACGACCCAATGGCGGCGCCGATGGCCACGGCCGCCCGCGCCGCCGGCACGCTTTCTTGATACCGCGTCACCTAACCTCGGGTCAAGTGACCGATATTGAAGCAACCTTTGTACCAGTGGGTTGTCGCCGAGCGTCGACGGCGCCATCTCGGACACGAGCATCGCGTGGCCTGCTTGCCGGAGCTGCTGGAAGGCTTGGACGAGCTGGCGGAGCATAGTCGTCAGTGGCAGCGCGTCCTGGTCCATCTGGCACGTGGGTGACACTGACCACTCGGGCGCCATGACGGGGTCGAGCGACGAGTGCACCACGTTATCGACAAACATGCCTAGCATGGGGTGCAGCTACGATGGCCCACGAGAGGCAGTACCTTCGCGCAGCGCCGGCCAGCGCACGGCGAGGTGCAAGTGCCGCAGCGGCGACAAGCGCGGTCCCCACACCACCGCCTGGAACGGCAGGTTGCGACGGAGCTGCGCATCAATCGGGTCGCGCCATGGCGTCTACAATTTATGAGGTTGACAGGACGCTGGAGCGGCTGGAGAATTGTACCGCTGGGTCTTCTTCGTGCAAAATCGACGGCGAACGAGCGTGCCACGCGTACGCAAAGCCGACGGCCGCCGAGAGCCCGAGACGCAAGTCGTTGCCAGGTACATCGCGCATCGCTTCGTCGACGTTCGATGGGAGTTGGAGCTTGGCTTGGAAAAAGTCCATGAGCCCTTGGAGACACTGCTGCGCCGGTGGCACCTAGAGAACATACTATTCGCAAGAGCGATACGCATCACGTAGCTACCTCGGGGACAGTTGCCGTCTCGAACTGCAGTGCAATGTTGCCATGCGCGCCTGGCACGGCGGCGCCGAGGTACTGCGCGTCACCGCCGAGGCGCACGAACACCGGCAAAGTGCAGTTGCAGTTGCCGAGCGCAACGATGAGGCTGCTAAGCAGCGTTCGCGCGTCGTGGTCCATGACGCCGAGCGTCGCGTCCATCGAGATGCTCGCAATGGTGTCGTCGTCGGCGTCGGGCAGGCCAAAGGCTGCGTTAAACTGGTGCAAGACGAGGTGGCTCTCGACGCCAAAGTACCGCTGGATGCTACGCGTGTCGCCAGCGTCAAGCGATGCGTTGGCAAGCGCCAGCATCGTCGGCGTAAAGTGGCGCGTGGCGTCGGTCCACGTCGGCGCCGGCGCGTCGTCCGTGTGGAGCACAAGGAGGTAGTGGCGCTGCTGGAGCGGCAGGACCCGCGCCTTGGGCCCATCGCTCGCTGCGCCCTTCTCGACGAGAACCCACGCCCGCAGCGTCTCCTCGAGGCCCGCAATGAAGCGCTCCCAGTCTGTCTCGTTGGTGAAGTCGACGAAGCGGCAGGTCGGATCTTCCTCGACGTCCAGCATGGTCAAGAACCCGATTCTGGACTTTTGACCAATCGGAGCGCGTCGCGTCGAGAATTGCGATTTTAGCCAATCCAACGACGCGATTCCACAAAAATTCCGTGACCTGCCACGTCAGATTGCACTTTCTACGATCCGACATTGCATTTGGCACCGAGAGAAGAAGCCAAGCACATTAGTGTGCTCAAGCGGACGACGCACGGTGCACCAAGACGGTCGTTGACGTTGCCCTGCATTGTGTGGAGCGCTGTACTGTCGAGCATGATTGTCGACAGGCTTGTCGCTGGAGGTGAATGCGCTACGGTGTTTGCCGACAGTTCAAGCTGGCTGACGTGTCCGTGGAAGCAAGACCATACGATTAATTCTGCTGGTCCTTGTCGAAGCCACACAACTCAACTGCAATGTAGTGGAGTCCCAGCGGCCAGAAGCCCTACATGTGCTCGAGCGACTACTGGCACTTGGTGGTGCGATGCGAATCGGTATCAGTACGCGAATCGTTTACTCGCAAACGCTTATTGCCGACTACCCGTTAAATAGGGCGATTGGTTTGTTTGCCGACTACCAGGTAGATGGCGGGACTTGTTGTTTCAACACACGTCCAAAAACCGTTGCGGCGTTTTCAAGCTCATTCTACGACGTTTGGTATCAACGCCGCCAGTCTTGATGAGCGTACGCCTCGGACTGTCCTCAACCTCGAGTAATCCTCCTGCCTCTAGGTCGAAACTGGAGACGCACTTGTGGTCGCTGCTTCCAAGGGCTCGCTCGATGACGTCAGGCGCCTCCTTCGCGCCGGCAGCAACGTCAACGGCGTCCATGGCGGCGTGAGCGTCCACGCCGTTGTATTGCAATGTCGTTTACATTGTGTTAGACCACCCCGCTGTGGGCGGCGGCGGCCAAAGGCCATCTCAGTGTTGTTCAGCTGCTCCTCGAGGCCAGTGCAGATCCCTTTTGCGCCAATGTGGTAGGTACCCCGTCTAGTAGGTACAGCATGGTTCAAGGCTGCCTAGGACCACGAGCTACCACGAGATGTGGCCAAGCAGCATGGGCATACGGCGGTCGTGGCGCAGTTAGCGGCGACGACCACCGCACTCGTGCGACTCTTTGAGGCGATTGTGAACGACGAGGTTGCGACGGTGCAGCAGCGACTGCGCGAGAAGGTGCCTCTCAACGTCCGATACCGCGTACACTCTTCGCTGCACCAGTAGCCAACTTTTTTCGATCTGGATCTAGTCGCTGTACATGAACTTGCCCCTTTGCAAGCACGAGACTGACAAGTATGTTCTGACCGAGGACGACGGCGACGCAGAGCCAGCGGTAGAGCGCACATCCATCTCTGAGCCAAAATATTGATGTAGTACGCTAGGATGGGGTCACGGTACTGCACATTGTAGCCGCCAAGGGCTACGAGGCGATGCTACGAATGCTGCTCGCAGAGGCGACAATCGACATCCATCAAGCTGACAATGTATCCGTCGTATCGAGAACCAGTCGAGTTGAAGGAAGGACATTGTCTAGTACGATCGTACTCCGTTGCACGAAGCCGCGTCGGCCGGTACCACCACCATTGCTACAAAGCTCTTGCTCGCTGGTGCGCGCGTTGATGCTCTCAACCGGGTTCTTCCTTCGCTAAGCAAGCGCGTTTTCGTCTTACCCTAAACCTAGTTTGGCGAGACGCCGCAGCATTTTGCTGCGACAGCAGGCCATGAGGAGACCCTTCGTTTTCTGTTGACAGCCGGCGCCGACGTCAATGCGCGCTCCAAAGTCGGTCGAGTGTCACTGGATGTTCTTTGACAAAATTCGGTGCAGGATGGAACGAGCCTTCTGCACGGCGCGGCCAGCAATGGCCATGCTAGCATCATCCACGTTCTGCTGGCGCATGGTGCTGTTATCAACTCTCGTACTTGCGTACGTAGAACGCCATGACACCGCTGCGGAGAGCGCTATGGTAGGACGACGAAACGCCGCTGATGAAGGCCGCTAGATTCGGCCACGTGGATGCTGCCAATGCTCTCTTGGGTGCCGGTGCTGTCACCACCGACCGCAATCGCGTACGCTCTCTAACTGTGCCACTTGATACGATGGACGTGTAGTACGACCACACGCCCCTGCACATCGCAGTCTTTCAAGGCCACTGCGACATGGTGACGTTGCTTTTGGCAGCCGGCGCGGCAGCCAACTCGACGGATTGGGTCCGATTTGATCGTGTTGCTGCAACTCTAAATTGTGCGATCGTAGGAACTGGACTCTCCGCTACATGACGCGGCGAGGGCTGGCAACACTGAGGTTATCTCGAAACTTTTGGCGGCGGGGGCGACGGTGAACGCTGTCAACCAGGTATAGACACTATCGCCATCGGCTCAATGACCCGTCAAACGTACGTAGAACGGCATGACACCGCTGTACTTGGCAGCGAGCGACGGCCGAGCTGACGCGATCCCCCTCTTCTTGGCCGCCGGTGCAGATGTCGATTCAACAATCCCACACTGCAAAGTGCCAAACAGTGTCCTTGAAACTCGGGCAATTTACACTTGCTATAGTACCGGACGACGCCGCTGCACCTGGCCGCTGAAAAGGGCCGAGTGGATGCCGTGCACGCTCTGCTGGTCGGTGGCGCGGATATCACCGCATGTACTCGAGTATGGGATTTGCCGATATTTGGTGCTTGAGTTTTGAGTTTTGCACTGGGGCAGGGTTGCCAGACGCCGCTGCATTTTGCTGCCAGTGAGGGCCACACCGACGTAGTCGAGGCCATCGTGGTCGCGGGTGCTGTGGTTGATGCCACGGACAATGTACTGCGAACGAAAGGCAACGCTCGCAATCTGAAACAAAGATGTAGAACCAAGCAACACCTCTCCACGGTGCGGCTGTCAACGGGCACGATGGTGTCGTCGCAGTGCTCGTGGCCGCTGGTGCCTCCATCAATGCTTGCGATAATGTAACATACTGCAGCCTGCGAAAATCCACGCAACAATATGGTCTAGAGTGGCTACTCGGCACTGTTTCTGGCGGCCGAAGCGGGCCACGTCGACGTCGTTCAGCTGCTTCTCAACGCCAAGGCCGACGCGCGACTGGCCACAAAGGTAGTCTCGCACCTCTCCAACGCATCGTCCCCTGCAGTCTCTAGGCGAATGCAACCCCACGCTCGGCGGCCAAGATGCAAGGCCACACAGCGGTCGTCGAGCTGCTCGACAGCGTCCTGCACCCAAATGGTCATGTCTCGCTGCAGGACGAGCGTCTTTGCAAAAAGCTATCCGACGCCGTCACTTGCAACGATCGCGAGCGAGTGCAAGCGCTACTGGCGTGCGGAGCCGACCCCAACACGCTGTTCGAGGTCGGTCTTCTGCACCGAGATCTTAGTGGTGAGGGTACGGTTGGCTCTGTAGCAATCGCTTTTGGAGACAGAGCCTGGTGTTGGCATCTCGTTCCTCTTGGGCAAATCAAAGACCCATATTAACGTACACAATCGCATGAGAGCACGTAGCCGTGGCTTGATGGCAACACCCGTAGGACGGAAGCTCGCTTCTGCACGTTGCGGCAGTCCAAGGCTTTGGCTCTGTTCTTGACGACCTTCTTGCCACGCCGACAATTGACGTCGACGCCCGCGACAGTGTACTGAGATGTCTCTCACTGGAGCAGTACGATATGGCTTCCTGGCTAGACGGGCGCCACGGCGCTGTTGGTTGCAGCGAGCCATGGACATGCCGCTATTGTGCAGACGCTTCTACGCGCGAACGCAGATTTCAATCTTGCATCCCTCGTGCGTTCTTATGTGAAGACAATATGTCGACGATTTGTAGACACATGAGACGCCACTGCACAGTGCGGTGCGCCGAGAGCACCGCGACGTCGTCGAAGCGCTTTTGGACGCGGGAATCTTCCTCGGTGCCGAGGACCAGGTTTCGAGTACATATTGTAAGCTGCTGTGTGGACGTCAAATGTGTAGGACAACAAGACACCTTGGATGCTCTGCCAAGAAGTCGACAACGAAGCCATCACCGAGCTCTTCCGTACCAAAACTGACGTCTCTGCATGTGAGGAGCCGGCGAGCACGGCGTCGTCCGAGGAGCTTGTCCAAATCGTTCGAGGTGGCGACGTGGCGCAGCTGCAGGCGCTTCTACAGGGCGATGTGAATCCCAACGTGACAACCACCGATGTAACGAATGTCGTTCGCACGTCTCAGGAGACTAACCCACAAGTAGACAGGCGACAGTCTGCTGCACGTAGCGGCCCAAGGCAAGCAAGGTGCAATCCTCAACGTGTTGCTCAAGACCAAGCGAATCAACTTTGACGTGCGCAATCATGTATGCTTGTCGATATTGCGTTGTGGAGCGCAAGGCTGGAGAGACTGTAGAACATGGAGACGGCGCTTCTTGTCGCTATCAAGCAGCGTGACGTGTGTTTTGCACAAAAGCTACATCGGGTGATGCTGCCAGCGACGCAATACGTACGTCACCTCAGTTTCAACAGCGTTTGCGCGTGTCGGCTTAGGTTTCGGCAAATACTATCGTTGTGAACCGGGACGAGGCGCTTGGAGGAGGCCAAGCGAGTATTGTCTACATGGGGGAGTTCAATGGTGACGCGGTCGCGGTCAAGACGGCGCTCTTTCCGTCGCAAGCACCAGGTCTTATCTGCGAAATCGAGGCGCTCCAACGGTACGTACTCGCCTCTTTGATCCGTACCGCTGCTAATTGCAGTTATGGCGATGCAGCTGCGACTCGCCGTATCTCACGCGGCTTCTGGCCGTCGCCGATCACGACACAGCGTGTCCCAAACTCGTCTTCGACTATATGGGTGTCGGCAATCTCCGCATGTACCTCGACAAGAAGCGCGACGGTATCGATACCGA